AACATTGTAAACAACTAGCGTCATATTGGTGACATAATAACATATGCAAATTAACATAAATTATTTATATCGATTTAAATCAATTTAACTATTTTTCAAAACAATTTCATACGCGAAAAAATATTGTAAACAACTAGCATTATATTGGTAATATAATAACATATGCAAATTAACATTAAAAGCGCCAAAGAAAAACCTGAGTCATCAGGCTTTCAATTATATTTTGTAACAGACATAATCGATTTAATTTATTAGTAATAAATTAAAATGATTATATTGGCATAATCGATTTAATAAATTAAATCAATTATGTTGACATAATCGTTTTAATTTATTTAAACCCGATGACTCAGGTTTTTCTTATTTAATCATATTAAGTGTAATATTATTTTGATATGTAACAAAATTCAGTAAAATTATACAATATACAAAAAACTCAGCTACATGTCATTATAAGTATAATGATTAAAACAACAAATGAGATAAGTATCTATTGAATTTTTTTCTTTCATTATGTTTATCATTATTCAATTTTTTTTTCTTTCAGTACATTTTTTATCATTATGTTTTAATTTTTTTTTTTTTTTCTTGCTTACGAAAGCTTTTACATTTATATATAATACAATGGATTTTTAGCATTTAAAGGTAAAGACATTTTTTGAAATTTCTTAATAATTTTGGAAAAATACAAAACACTAACTTATCTTCCACTACCCCAAATACACCACAAAAATAATGAACGACCTCAAACTGTTCGTTCTCAATCGTTTTCTGATTTTACTAACCCTAATCAACTATCTCAAAATATTCGTGTACAATCGGTTTCTTATATTACCTCTAATTCTTAACAAACATCTTATTATTTTCATCTTCAACCATCTCATTCCTTTTGACTTCAACTATCTACTTATCATTCTTAATCGGTTTTATATAATTTCGACTATTCTTAACAAATATTTACTAATGCTAAACCTCAAAAACAATCTCAAAAACAACCTCAACCTTATTATAGTGATGATGATTTTGATTCATCAGATTCATCAAAAAGTATTTTAAGCGTATAAAGTATTTTCTTCCAAATAAGTGGAAAAAGCAAATTTAAACAACAATCTTGCTAATCCTCTTATCGACAATCTCAACAACAATCTTGCCAACCTTTTCACCAACAATCTCGCTAACCTTCTCAAGTATGTCTACCTTCTTGTTATGAATTCCAGTCTCGTCATTCATCACTTGGTAATGATGGATATCATTCCTCACCACAACGTTCACCTGATCCAGAGTATAGAGAAAGATCCTGTGAAAGATCAACCAACCAAGATGCACCTCAAGATGTACCACGTAAAAGATCGACCAATTAAGATGAACCAAGTAATCGTGATAGTAATAAATGTCGAGGATGATGCTGAAATCGGATGATGCTGAAATTCATATGATCATATGATGATCTCTGCTATTATATAGTAAAAAATAAAAATTATATTATAACTAGATTTAGTGTTTAGTAAATCTACTTTCATATGAGGTGTGGTGACTTAGTATAGTTGGTTAGTTGTTACCCTCCCAAGCGGCAGGTCTAGAGTTCGAATTCCACAGACGACGATTTTGAAAAATGGATCTGCGTACGGTTAACGGTTGTCGATTATCAGTTGGATCTTAATCTGTAATCTCGGTCATACCATCTAGTAATGGGAGCTTTGGCGAAATAAATCTGAGGAACTGGAATAACTGAAACCCCGTTTGGCAAGTCCTGAGTTGAGATGTAGCAATGATCTTCAACGGTACTACAGGAGGGCTGAATTCGAACCGGGGCCCAAAATCGAAGAACCGAGCAACCAGATTCTATGGCGGAGGACACACTAGCCGAACCGCTGGGTTGTCGCACCAGAGAAAAAGAGCATATGCTTCGAAAGTATGGACCAAGGGGAGGGTGTCCTAAAGCCTGGGCAGACTGGCCCATCCGGGTGCCGGCTGGAAGTAAGGGAGGGACCGATAAAGAATCCGGGTAAGGAGACGGTTCCAAATGCGGGTACTGGGGTTGTTGGGAACCTTACAAGGGCAAGGAGTACATAATGGGTGACTAATTAGGAAGGTTGTGGATCGGATTACGGCAGCATCCCAAAGGTTGGCTTGAGATACGAACTCGGTGACAGCAGTACAACAGGTACTAGTTAGGAAGAAATTACTGAACATGCAAGTAAAAACATGTGTGGGACATGGACTACTCTATTAGGTTTACCTCATGGATAGATTAGCCATGTATGGTTAGTTAGTCTTAAGACAAGGGATTGATAAATCCAAAAATGATTAGTAAGTCCTAAGGTAGGGTGTGAAATCTATAAGTGTCACAAAAGCTACTATCGAATAGTGAGTTACACCTTGGTTAGGTAGAATGTTGTAACCAGAGGGTTTAAATGTGTACCCCCCAGTTGGGGTACAGGTATGGCAGATAGTGTAAAACCTTCGGGCGAACTACTTAAATTAGGCACTCAAAAGGTGCACGTGTGGCTATATGTACTCTTGTTGTAACTGTAATATGTTATATATCTACTTAATAAAAAGTCCCCAGGCCATAGAGGTCACCTTAACACCAAAAAAATAAATAAATAAAGTTTTAATACTGCAAAAATAAATTTACCACATACATTAGTTTTATCAGTTGTTTTAGAAACACATTCGGAAATTGGTTCATTAACAGAAGATTTTAATTTACTTAAAACATATTATCAAAGTGAAAAGAACTATAATATCGAAATAAAAAATGTATTAGAAACAAATGAACTTGTTTCTGAAAATACTGATATTATAGATCATAATAAAGAAACACAATATTTTGATAACCAAGTTCTTACTTCGTCACAAATTAAAAAATATCAACAAATATTTTTACAAAATACTATTAAAAACAATAACAAAGAGCAAAAAGTTAATGAAAAATTAGCTACCCTTTTAGATCAGCAGGAAAAAGAAGATTTTATTCATAAGCTTCATACTACAATTTGCTGTAAAACTAGAACATGTTTGTCTAAGATCAATTATGAATCTGTATTTTAAGGTTTTTGATAATATTCGAAAATTATCAAAATCTGAATACAATATGCTTTTATTGGAAATGCTTCATATAATAACTTGTCCAAATGAAACTCTACGTAGTAAAAAAAAAAAGCAATACTTAACTGTTAAATATATATTTAATGCGAATGAAATTTGTGAAAAAGCATTTCAAGTAATATATTTGCTATCAAATAAAAAATGAGAAAATATCTGTCAGCATTATCGTACAAATGGTATTAAATCTATTAGACATGCACTTACTGGAAAAAAATCTCCTATTGCTTTATTATTTACAACAATTTTAAATATTCCTACATTTATTATCAATTATGCAAATTGTCATGGTTTACCATCACCAGGTAAAGTTTATTATAAGCAAAGTTTTGCTATACAACAACTAGTGATATGCTATTTATACGATACCTAAAAGATTTTAGTATACAGTACATACAGTATATACTGTATATATAGTTATTTTCTAGCATCTAATCAGCTGGAACAAGTGATTGGCAAAAATTTTAATGTATAGTATGTATATACACTATATACTATACAGTACTGTATACAGCACATTACTAACAACAATCTATATTAGCTATATTATTTTAATATACAGTATATCTTATATTAAATTATATTTAATAGGCCGACATTTTCAAGAGGATACTATGGCTATTATGTTTCTTCTAGCTAGTGATAGTTATGTAGAATTATGTCGTATTTATCAGTCTAATTTAGATAAAAACTTTGATCTTTATGTTAGCCATTGGTCTTTTATGTGGATTTGAAAAAAATATGTGTCAGAAATTTGCTTTTTATCTCCTAGAAGTGATCTATGTTCACTATGCAAAAACATGCGATTTAGTTCTCAATTTTGGACAGAGAATGAACAGGATTATAATATTCAGCAATGGAATAGTTATATTAATTGGACAAATCAAGAAAGAGATTATTATAAGTATGAAATTAATAATTTGTAAGATAAATTAGCCCTGTTAAAATCATTATCCTGTGATCTCTAAGTTATTTGAACTATATTCGAGATATTAATTTTATCTTATTATTGTCTAATCAGATGACTTTATTGAAACAAAAATAAAGAATGTATAGAAATTCTATTTGCTATTACTACAGGATTCATTTCAAACTAACTAAAAAGTATCTATAACTTTAATACTACTAATATTCCAATAATTGAACTCATTTTTTTTATCAACTTTTTCGCAACTTATTAATTAACTATTCTAATCTATACATAGAAGAGTCAATAAATGATGGTCAGACTTAATGTACAGAGCAGACTTTGGCCTCTTGCACAGCCATGAAAACCGGGCATACGGCGAGCGCTTTTGTAGAAGACATCTCTTCCTCCTCAATTACCAATTCACCCCACCCTATTGAGGAGACATGCTTTAACAAATTCCTTTACAAATATAATCTTCCTCTTCTCTTATCACCTCAAACTTTCAAATCATTTTTACAACATCTCCTTAAAAACTCCTTTTTTCAACCATACAAAATTTCTGTTAACATTATAACTCTTGAAACCCATGTCTATCTTGATATTACTGATACTATTCTACA